AATGCATTTAAAATAAATCAAACTATAGACAATATTATTTCAGCATTGATACATATTGGTCGTGTTGATTTAGCTTATATGTTCAAAATTGACAATTTAAGATATAAATGTCAAAGTCAATAATAATAATTATTATTATTATTGGAAAACCTTTAGTAGAGACCTTGTTAGAGTTCTTGAAAGCACCTTTTCGAGATTGTTTGCAATAGAAAAGAAATGAAACCGACACAGAGAGTATTGATATTTAGCTCTTCGGTTTATGATTTCGGCAATTCACTTAACTTTTACACTCCACGTAATCAAACATAAACGAATTCAGCTTCTGATATCTTCAGTTCCATTTGAAATTCAGTTAGAGAGTTTTTATTGAACTTTCACGTCTTTCACTGCTTTTTTTCCGTCAGTTTATTGATTACAACTATGAACAAAAAAAAATAAGCAAATATTGCTGTGACTATTGAAAACAAATATTAGTTGCTTCCTTTCTCATGTTAGAATACAAAAGAGTTTTAAAAGAAAAATCAATGAAATTCGAAATTTTCTGTTCGTCAAAAAGAGCACACCCATGTAGCTGACCTCTAGCAAAACAATTAGAAAGGTGAGTGTGGGAGATGTGGTATCTCTTAGAGAGATGTGATGAGAGATACGGTATCTCTTGTAGAAATGCGATATCTCCTTAAGGAGTTCGAGATAGTAAAAAAAATATCATTACTGTGTAATAATTCAATATTATGTTGTAATGTCGTTAGTATATGTAACATCTCTGTGGGGATCTCTGAAATGTCTGATTTCCTGAATCTGTGACACTACTCGATTTTTCATTTGGTATAAGTTGTTCAATCAGTACCGATGGTTCCGTTTCTGGTGTAATGTTTAATTGGCGTACTAGTTTGCCATGAAACCATACTAATGTATGTAATAGATTAGATTTATCACAACCCGCATCACCAATAACAAGAATCGGTTGTTTAATTTGCATATTAAAACAGATTTGTTTGCGAGCACTCATCGTTCGTTCAATTAGAACATAGGATATTCCATCTTTAGCCATTGGTGTTAATCATTCACAATTAATATCTATTTTGAATATATCTGTAAAACATTTGTGTACAATTATTTGTACCGATTGATGATGAAAACGACTTGGATACATGTTACAATCACGTTGTGTCAGCTCAATACGATTTAAAAGAATATTCGATTTAGCTGATGATAATAACCATTCCCATAACTATGAACGATTGATACGATAAATACCATTTGTACGAATAAAATTATCGGTTGGGTGTGGGTGTGGCAGGGTTGGGGTGGGGATGTGGGTAGGTGTTGGATGTGGATTTGATTTCACCCTGTTACACCCATACACCCATACCCACAGAGATTCGAGAACATCTGGTAACATAACTCATATTTCAGCAGCGTACATATAAAAAAACTAACACTCCTTTGTTGTTTCACTTGGCGACAGTTAAGACGATGTCAATTCTTCAATTTTTATGCAAACCAAAAAGTTCTGCTTAAGGAGCATAGTGCACATCTTAGTAGAGCAACACATTCTTTATCAAATCAATATAAAATTAGGTTTCAAAACTATTTTTAGAGATATTTCTAGTTAAAATGTTATACGAATTTTGTTAATCATGCTGGAGTTAATGTAATGCTTTGAAATATGAGCTGAGCACATGTGGCGAAAATTTATATTAAGACAAGAAATCAAACACTAGAAGAATTGTGCATGGAAGTCAATATTAACCTTATCGAATAATAACTATATCTGTTCTTGTATTACGTTATTGGTAGTATGTAGAAAACCGCTTCTTGTTTTTCTCAAACCGAACTCATTCTATCACTAATCAATAATAAACGTTTCTCATTAATCCAATATTTAGAAGAAACAAGATTATCAGTATATATGTTTATATACATATCGAAAAGGATTCATCATACACAAGGCCGCCTAGCCGTGACATTTATCCTTATCTAGTTTTCAACTACTTGTTGTATAAAAGATAACAATCGCAAATAACTCTAACAGCTCATTTACGAATAAGAGTCATTTACATGACTTCAAAATACATAAACTCATTTAAACTCACAAAATCATAAATCACTGCTTGTGCCTTGTTTTTATCGTATGTTGTCATCTTTGATGGAATAGACACTTTCATGAGATTGTAAATTCCACTTTAGCCTACTATGTTCATAACAGTTTTATCAATCTCAAACATTATTAATTGATAGTATGGTTTGTTTAGTTCTTACATCCTAGTTGCTTTACTATCTCTTATGTTTGTGTGAAATATCTCCTATAAGCACTAGGAAAGTTTATGTGAGCCTGTGATAAACTCCAATGCGACATTATTATTTCATTTTGTTTTGATAATATAACTTGATATGACATTGGGTTGATAAAATGTGATAGGTAAACTGTGATGAATTCGTTCTAAATAGAATAGTTTGTTTCATCTTCACTCCCGAAAATAGTTGTTAACATTATGAAAAGCATTTCCTGTACGGTAAAAAAAGGCATGCGAACAATGGAGAAGATTCATATTAGTTGACAGGAGAACAATAGTGTGAGCCCTCTGTTAAGGAATCTTTTCCCATAGTGAACTGGAAAAAAGGCGTTTCCTGTTCTGCGCTTCAACTCTACCTCACGCACACCCATCTAGGCTGGTCCACACTCGTACTCAAACATAAACCCAAGATCGACACAATCACAGTTACATCGATTCACATCCTCGCACAAACTCACATCTGCATCGGCATCCAAACATACAGCTCCAACCAACACTCTCGATCATAGGCGTACCCTTACTCTTCGTTTACATCACAAGACCGTACCCGCGCTTGCATCTTCTTGCAAATCTCTCGTACGTATACGAAGACTGTTGCAGGATGCCACTAAATTAATGTCTTTATTTTGAAGAAGAACTATGTCATTCGAGGATGTTTGACAAGAGTTATCTCTATTTTCTTCTTCTAGCACATGCAAGCACTATGATGCACTATATCGAGTATCAAATCGAAGAAGTCACAATCAT